TGTCAGAATTTGAAGGATGTGATCCTGAAACTACACATGAAGCAATAACACTAGCAGAGCAATGGAAAGATTTTAGCTTTCTTGTCTCTTTAATTGTCTGTTATGACATTTTTTTTCAAGTCAATATTGTTAGTAAAACTCTTAAAGAGAAAGACATGAACATCACTCAATGTTCAAAATTAGTGAATAGCTGTTGTTCATTTTTAGAAAAGTACAGAAAATGTGGCTTTTAAGATGCAATTATAAAAGCAAAGGGTTTAATGTAGAAATACAAGTAGAGCCTGTTTTTAAACCACTTAAAAGAAAAATACAAGTGAAACGCCATTTTGACAAACCAGCCCAAGATGGGATTTATTCATTTTCTCCTGAAAAAAAATTAGAAATCAATTGCTTCAATCCTCCTTTAGACACGTCTCTAATTTCAATGAGAGAAAAATTCACACAGTTGGAAAGTTATTCAGAAGTTTGGGGTTTTTGTAAAATGTCGATAGTTTGCAATAAATGGAAGGAATTCTAAAACCATGTTTAGCACTTCAAATTAAACTTACTGTAAATCTAAAATTGGACATTAATGGTATTCTCCTTTGCAATGAACTGATGAACATTAAACCTTTTCTTTCTGAAATGGTCAAGAATAAAATTATTCCTGCTATTGTTTTAAGCTTCATGAAACAGTATAAAATGCAATATTTGTATCCAAACACATGGACTGCAATGCGAGTTTTGCTAACAATACAGCAAATGCATATTTTTCAAAATAAAACTAATTAAAACCTCTGCAGTCAATAATGTTACAGGATAGACTTTCAAATTTAGGAACCCTATCGATTGAAATATATCGCTGAAAATCTTGATTTTTTTACGCTAATTAAAGATTTTGGTGATAAAATGCCCGAAAAGTTTTGGTGATTGATTTAAAAAATTAAATGTACTTTTTGTAAAACATAAACAAAAAACGTTTCTTTGAAAGCGACTCAAATTTAACTAATTAAATTTTTTTTAGATATTTAACTATCAACTAAATTTTTTTAGATATTAAACTAGCAACTAAATCTTTACTAGAAACTGCCGAGTAAGCTTAACAATAGTAACAAAGTGTATTAAGAACTCAAAAAAAAAAAACATTTATTGTATTAAAAGCTTTTTGTTTTTTATTTTAAAGAATAGTTTGACAATCAACGTCGATCGTTTTAAAGTAAAGAATATGTTTAAATTAGTAATATTTTATAATGTGGTTTTGTCGTGTAATATTTTATCGTCTGGTTTTATTTCTTTAAATTTTTACTCTTTCAATATTGCAGCCGCAGTGTAATGGTTAGAGTTTTGGCTCACAAAAAAAAAGAAGTCCGTGGATTGAAGCCACGATAAACGACATTAAGGAAGGAGGGGTTAAACTTTCTAGTTAAATTCTCTTTCGCGTTGCTATGTGATAAGATTGTTCGAACTCCTGGGAACACCTTAATACCCACAAAAAAAAAATTACTCCTTGTTTTTCAAGAAAAGGAAAAAATACACTTGAATATAAATATAGAACATAAACAAATAGTTATAGATAAATAAAATCAAAAAGGTATAATAAACTAGTTCGTATAATCAATATTAAGCTATATTAAGACTGTTGTTCTCAAAAATTACTAACTGCGGTATCAACTAGAAATAGTGTTTTAAGAGCTTGTGTTTTCTTAAAAAAACAGTAGACCGTGAATAAAATGTTAGCACTTTATAATTAAAGAACTTAACAAAGGCATATATCTGTTATTGGTGTTTAAACTTGTATTTGCTTGACTTTTTGAAAATTATTTAAAACGTATTCTAACGTCGATAATTTGCCTCGTATATCGCCAATTTAAAAGTGAGTTTTTTACAATTGGTTTAGTTAAAACATCAATATTTTTTATTGATAACAAGATAACAAAATTCTGATTGGATAATGCACAAATTCTAAATGATAATTAGTTTCAGTCAATTCGGATAGTATATATCATTTTATATAGAATTTTCGAACTTTTTGAAGAACCATGGCAGTAGGTTAGAAAAGTTTGCTGTGGTTGCCTCAACGACAGTTATTTATTATTTTTATTTTGATTGACATATTTGTTTTAATTCATTAGTTTCATTTCATAAATTAAACTATGTAAGCCTTTAATATAATTTTCTCGGAAATAACTTTACAGTTTTACAAACAAACAAACCAAATTTGTATTTGCGTTAAATAGAATAATTGAAAATAATTTTTAATCAACAACTGGTAATGAATTTTAATTAACAATTGAGAATAATTTTTAATCAACGATTATAACTTTTATTCAACAATTAAAATAGAAAGTATATTCAATTTCAAGTAAATTTTTTTTTTTTTATTTACGGTAGGAAGCAGGGGGTCACTACTATACAGAATACTACTTATTTACCATTTTCTTTTACCCATAAAGTTTCATAGCTTATAGCAATGAAGATGTAGATAAAAGCAATGTTTTGTGTCTACCTTTTGTGACTACCTTTTGACTACTGCATAGCAATTACAAGCTTTTACAGTATGGCAATTTAACAAAATACATTTCCGTTAAATATTGTTCATAACAAATACTGTCATGTTATGTATTAAAAAAAAAGGATTAGGAAGCATTTACTGACTTTATTGTGAGAAATTTGATGAAATAGATAATGCAGTTTTAAGAAACTTGCAGAAGACTGATATTTTTCGTGAGTGACATAAATGTAAAAACAATAATAACATTTCAATGTTTTAGCGAATGAATTTTATCTAAGCTTTTATATATCATAACTATTTTTTTTCCACTTAAGTTATGATTGTATTATAGCGTAATAGTTTGTAACAAATTATATATCATATTTATTAATGTTAAGAAAAGTATCGCCGAAGAAAGTGAGTTTTTAACAAATAAAGAAACAAATAAAGATTTGTTGAAAGTTACACCAGATAAAAAGAATAAAAACTTTTTGTTATCAATCTTTATTGCTTAGTAATTAAATACTTCTTGAATATTTGCCAGATTTGAATATAACTTTCACCTTTAGAATCTTTAAGCAAAATTTATATTTTACTCATCACAATCTACCGCTCAAATCTAATCTTTGTTTAAAATTTATTTTAGGAAAAAATTTTAGTAACAGCATTTATAGTAAACACTGCATTTTTAAAGGTTTTTAGTTTAAAATGTTGTTCTATCTGTGTGTACTCTTTTAATAAAGTATTTTGTTAATTTTTTATTTTTAAAACCTGTTTTTAAAATTAGTTGAAATAATATTTTTAAACTTTTAAAAAATAACGACAAATTTGATTTTATAGCTAGTGCTTACACTCGCTATAAAATCAAAGAAATTTTACGATGAAACTTTGGATGTTTATTTTCGCGCTTCATAGCCATAAATTTATTAGTTTACACCTACTTATGTTTAGTTTCTACTTATGATACTACTTATGATAGTTTTAAAACCCTACTTTTAACTATATTTTATACTATGGGATACTTTTAAATAGAAGTTTGATAAAAACGCTGTGGTGTATCGTGAACGAAGTATGTTTTTAGTTAAAAATAGTAAATATATTCCAGCCTTCTTTCTAGGAGATTTTTTTAAGGGCGATTTTCTCTCAACAGAATAAATGTTAAATCAATTTGTATTCTCAGAGAACTTGGTGAAAATTTAGTTATAAAGTTATAAAGTTTCTTCTTCTTCATTTTTTTTTTTTTTTTTTTTGTTAAAAGGAACCATCAAAACTTCAATCGCAATTATTAATGGGAGTGTGAAATAAGAAACAAATTTGGTTCTACTTTTTCATATCAAAGTAATTTTCAAATAAAATTTTTCACAAATATATATATATATATATATATATATATATATATATATATATATATATATATATATATATATATATATATATATATATATATATATATATATATATATATATATATATATATATATATATATATATATATATATATATATATATATATATATAGCAACAAGTACAATAACAAACTATAGTAAAGTAACAATAATACGAAGACTGCAACTTTTGTTTTTCTATATGTTATTTTAATTACTTTTTCATATTCATTTTGTTAATCATAGGCAAATTTAGGTTTTTTCTAATATTTAGCACATAAATAAATGTATTTATAAATAACTACATTTATAAACAGTTATATATATATATATATATATATATATATATATATATATATATATATATATTATATATATATATATATATATATATATATATATATATATATATATATATATATATATATATATATATATATATATATATATATATATATATATATATACATATATATAAGTTTATAAATGAGATTGAAAAAAATATATTTTACTGAACTTTTACATTTTTTGGAAAAAATAAGAACTATATAGTTATTATTTTTTTCCGAAAGATAAAATATATGGGAAAAGATTGGCTAACTTGCTGCTTACGTTTACGCGTTTTAAAGCTAATATTTGTAGTAAAGTGATATAAAAGAAATATAAAACTATGATATAAAAGAAATATAAAAAAAAAGAAAAAAAAACATGATATAAAAGAAATATAAAAAAAAGAAAAAAAACAGCAAAGAAACAAACATTTAAAAACAATAATAGCAACAACAAAAATAACAACAACAACAACAACAACAACAACAACAACGACAACAACAACAACAACAACAACAACAACAACAACATTAACAAAGACGACAATAAATTATAAAATCACCGACAACCACATCAAAATTAAAGACAAAATTAAATAAAAACAAGAATGAACACAAATATTTTATTCACAATTATTAATAAAACCTCGCTTCACAAAAATAATTTTTACCATTTTTTTTTTAATTATTATTTATATTTTAATTCTTTGTTTTATTGAAAAGCTCTATTTTATGTAAAAATGGTCTATAATTATAAATAAAGTTTCATTATAAAGATTTTTCAATTACATTGTTATTTTTATTTTACCAAATTAGTAAAACAGTATATTTAAATATGGCCTACTCAGTTACAGTTACACGAAGAAATCATCTACGAAAAAGAAAAATAGCGGTAAAAATTATTTTTCCTTTGTTTTCTTTTTTAATTTATTCTACGCATTGTACGACATACTCTTAATTATTTATGCTTTTTACTCTAAGAGATATAAATAATAAAGAAACTCCCGACATCTAAATCAAAACAAAGTATTTTAGAAAGTTATTAAATAAGTTTTGAGGTATTCACAAAAAAAAAAAAAAAAATGGTCAAGGTAAGCCTGAAAAATATAATTTTAAACAAGTGAAAGCTAATAAATTTTAACACACAGAATTTAAAGTAGTTTATTTATAATAATAACAACGTATTTATTTTTTCAGGATAACCTTTCAAACGAACAGCTAAAAGGTAGGTAATCAAAAATTAACTTTTAAACCTGTTAACCTATCACAGTCAATTAACCACAAAAATTAGTTTTATTTTATTAATAGTTGAAAATTATTATTTAATTAAATTAATTTAAACAACATAAATATAAATGTCTTTCATGGAATAATTTCAAGGCTGTTTCAGTTATACATGGTTTGATCTTTTACATTTTTTGGAAAAAATAAGAACTATATAGTTATTATTTTTTTCCGAAAGATAAAATATATGCAAAAAGATTGGCTAACTTGCTGCTTACGTTTACGCGTTTTAATGCTAATATTTGTAGTAAAGTTTGTATTATAAAAGGTTAAAATTAAACAATTCGTTATATCAAAGATTTATCTATACATACTTGGTTACACAGTAGGTATTGGTGATTATATTCTGGATTATTTATGTTCTTTTATAAAAGTTTTCTTTTAGACTTTCTTTTAAACTTTGTTTAAAGACGTCTTTTAGACGTCTTTAAACAAATGCATATGTTAATATTATGTTGACGTCATGCATATGTTAATATCATGTTGATTTCATGAGCTATGTTTACTATATATAGATTTACAAATTTTGTATTTTTAAAATGCATGTTGACGTTAGAAAAATACAAAAAATATTTATTCCTTTTTTTCGTTTCATTTAACTAAAAAAAATAAAAAAAAATGCTCAGACCCTAAAAGAGACTGTAACGAATTGAAAATCAATCCACACGTAAACATATTACATCAAACAAACAATTTGATTACGAAAATATAATTGCATTAAGAGCAAAAGTACGTCTATTTGATAATTTGTTTTAATGCGATTGTGTGATTACCTGCTTTTCTTGCCCGTGATCTTGCATCAGTAACCTTAATAGCACTCCTCCTTTATAAGTGTAACAAATAAACAAGCGGTGTTAGATTTTTAGGACAAACAAGTAGATTATTAAGAACTTTATGACAGTGAGAACATTTTAACTGTTAAAAATCTGTTGAAAGGTGTTGTTGAAGAGTGTTTATTTATAAAAAAAAGGATTTCTTTGACAACAAGGAATATTTTGTTAGTTGAAAATAAAAGTAAAAACACATTGTCAGCTATCTGAAAGTACAAATTGCTGTTTCTATTAAATACTTTATAGAAATAATGACAAAATTGTAAATAAAAAATAATTTCTATTAACCAAAATATTTTAGTTATAAAGAACCAAAAATTCTAATAAAAACTTTCAAAAGTTTAAAACACCAACAAGAAAAAAAAAAAAAGAAAAAAAAAAAAGTGAAACTGAATTTATCTTTGATCTTTTTTTTAATCAAACTTAAATTTGTAGCCAAAATGATGCCAAACTACAATTCTAGAAAATTGTTACTATTATCTTTTAAATAAATAAATGCAGATAATGACTGCCATGATATAGCACTTTATCAAACCAATGGAGTGATGGAGTTATAAAAAAATGAAACTATCACACAATTAGTTAAACTTTAAAAATTCATAACAGAAGTTTTCAAAACCAAAATAGAAATCTAGAAGAAATTATTAAAATAAATTATAAAAAATTAATAATTTCTAGAAGAAATTATTTAAATAAACATAAAATTTGTATTAGTAAGATCGTATATTATAAATCACAGGTTAATTTATTAACTTTATTGATTCATATTAATAAATTAGACATGAATATTTGTAATTTAATAGAATAATTTTTATAAATTAATTTTTATTTATAAACATTTAAATAAAAAAAAAATCATATCCGTTTAATCTATTTTAATTGTCTCTATAAAACAAGCTTTAAAAATGGATTTACAAGGGGTATAAGTAAAAAAGAAAAAAAAAATCAGCTTTGCAAAAAACTGTTTTAAATTTGTGTTGAGTTGCTTAAAATTAGTTTTTCCTGGTGTGCTTAATTGCCTTTTTAGTTTTTCTTTAATTTTTAACAGGACTTTTGGTTTTTTTGTTACTTGTGGTTTTTGAAACGCACGACTTAATGTAACTTGATACGATTTAAATGAAAATAATTACTGATGACTTATAATTAGAGAAAATATCTAATGCACCACAAATCTTATATCATAATTACTAGAGATCTCACAAATACTCGGTGACAATTTAGTATTCGGTCTATACGGCTAGGTTATGATAAAAACATTTTCATCATTTGATAATAGCAAATGATTGCGAATTCATAAGTTATAAATACTTTTAAAAATAAGCGTTCAATATGTACACTACCACCAGCAAATAATAAGAAAGTTATAGCAAAGTCAGGATAATCTTATGAGCTTGATGATCACCATTTTGTAAAGGTTTGTTGTCTCACTTATGCAAACAGCTTCATGTAAAATCTAATTTCATTTAGTTCACTTTTCTTTTCCATATCTTTATATGTGTGCATATTTTTTGTAGACATTGGTTCGATTGTTTTCTTTTACATTACTTTTTTTTACGCAGTGGAGATCAATCATCACTGGTGCTTCTAGGCACCGGTGATGGTTCATCGCTGTCAAGCAGCTTTTCAGTGAGAAGGGTTAACCCACTGACCTAATCTTTCTCATAGTTTTTAAATTTTTGTTGTTATTTTGCTCGTTGTGTTTTAACTAATTCCTTGAAATTAGTTTTGAAACGTGCATCAATAAAAAATGCTGTCATATAATTGGCATTGCCATTGAAGTTAAACAATAAGTTAAACCCATTAAAGTTCAGGTCATAGTGAAGATATAGTTTTTAATAAGTTTAGAATTCTTTGTGCTTTTATCTATCAATAGTAACATCTTAAATTACATTAAAAGTGCAAGTGTAATCGAACTGGTTATTTTTGTAATTTTTTGAATGGTTTGAAGAGTACGATTTTTATTAATAATTAGTTATTTATATAGTAATAATTAATTATTTACATAGTTAAAACAATTAGATGAAACAATCAACAAATAAAGCGAGCTGTGACACGACCTAATCACAAATGAAACAAAAACGCACATATTGCATACATACACAGTGTATCTGCTTCAATGAAGCAGGTCGGAACCTTCAAAATTAAAAGTTCCTCTGCTTCAAGCGAGCATCTAGCCAAATATTTGGTATTCGGCAAAATAAACTACTCTAAAACGTTGAAATTAATTTTTTTTTTTTTTAAGTTTTGCATCTGTTTTCAATTTTTACTTATTTATTTTATCTTTTTACTTATTTAATTATCATGGCAGTGTTTTAAACCATGTTTATATCAAATTATTTGGGAATTAAAAGTTTAATAATATTTAAAAAAAAATAAATTTCAAAAACTTGTTGAAGCTTGGTGTTTGAACTTATAGCAAAATGCTAAATTTTATTTTGTAAAGTTGTTTTAGTATTTAGGCATGTGTCAGCAAGTGTCTGATGTATTTTGAAATGTTGAAGTTTTTTAATAAATAGAATTAGCAAAAAAAAACAAAAAATATATATAAACTGAAACCAAAATTTTTGTCCTAAAGTAATATCCTATTTGTCTTGATATTCTTCATTAAATTTTCAGCAAAGATTGATAATGTAAAATTTGTGATGATACTAGCCAAACGGGATTTCTCCACTTATAACAGGTGGCTCTCACAACAAACTGATTTGATGACGATTATGACAAAAGCAATAATCTTTTTCTGAATAAAGAAACTAAACAAAGAACTATTATTTGTCAATGTTAGGCTGAAAATTTTGTTACAACTTGTTGTTATATGAATGGTATGTTAATCAGTATTGATTTTGGACGTCCAAACCATTGCTGCTGTGTTTAAATAGTGTTTTTAGCTAAACATGTATTATTGCGTGTTAAAATAAAAATGTTTTTCACAACATGGTTTATTAAGTAAATTCTATCAAAATAAAAAAAAACAAAAAAAAGACAAGTACAAGATTCTTTACTAAATCATATTACATCAAAGTTTTTTTAGTTTGAATATCTTGCAACATCCTAGGTCACTTAAGATAACATCGTGGTATTTGTCGCAATGACAAACAGTATACACGGTACGTAAACCTGTAAATGCTGACAAATCTATTATGTCTATTTTTTAAGTATTATTTAAGTATTTTAAGCTTATTTAAGTTTATCATCAATTTTAATCTTTTTAGTTTGAATAAGTAAAACAGTATTTGTAACTATTTTGTTGTTAACAAATTTAAACAAAAATTTGATACCTTCACTTTATTTATAAAAAATGCTGTAATTCAAAAAGCTATTGTGGCGTTGGGTGAGTTGTAGAATGTGCTTGATGATAGCAAAAACTTCTGGAGTGATGGTGGCATCTTTTAGATGTAAATAGGAGAACCTGAACTACTCAATTTTATCAGCATAACTAATAATGCTTTAGCAATGCCCTTGATGAAAAAAAGTGATTATGTGTTTGTGGGGGAAGGATGGAGGGGAAGCAGTAATGGAGGGAGAGCAGTGCCCCCCTGGCTCACGTAGTGTCGTTGATCCTATTTTATTTAAGTGACTTTTTAGTATAATGAAACTTCCAATATATATATATATATATATATATATATATATATTTGTATTGTCAAATACTTTGCGAAAAACTGTAATAACTAGAGCTTACATTAAAAAAAAATAAAAAACCAGACCAGCTTAGGCGTGAAATACATATTCAGGAGGGTGGTTTTGTTCGCAGATTTTTGTCATTAATTTTTAACAATCTTTAATTTTTAACAAAGGATTTTAACTAAATATAAAAGTTTTTATATACCAAATATAAAAGTACCAAACACCAAATACTTAAAATACCAAATAACCTTAAGACATTTATTTACTGGCACAAGTGTGCCAGTAAGTAAAATGTGTTTGGGATGTTTATAAAACGTATTAAAACGTTTCAAATTGTAATAATGTAATAAAATAATATAACACATCTTTTACCAACTGAGCATCTGTAAATAAACGTTCTAATCTCTACTTTGATTTTTTCCTACAGAGTATCAAGATGCTTTTCAAATGTTTGACAAAGACGGTAACGGTTTTATCACAACAAGGGAGTTGAAATCTCTGATGAGGAGTTTAGGGTGCAATCCTACTGATTCTGAACTTCAGCAAATAGTTAACGAAGTGGATGCAGATGGTATTGTTTTATTATTGAGTATTTGTGTTGACATTCAAGACGGATTTGTCCACTATTACTTAACTTTAGTAAATAAATCTCGGTAAATCACGATAAATCACGATAAATCACGGTAAATGAACTTAATTTTATTTTAAATAATAGAATTTATAAAACAAGTTCTTTTACTCAAAAGTTTTTAAAAGAGTTATCATTAAACTACTTTACTCCGTTTTTAAAGTTTCGCAAGAACTAATTTTATATATATATATATATATATATATATATATATATATATATATATATATATATATATATATATATATATATATATATATATATATATATATATATATATATATATATATATATAAATATAATGTGAATATTTTTGAATGTATTCCACAAAATAGAGTGCTCAATGTTCTTAAAAGAATAGAGCAATAATATATTAGATGAAAATCATTTATCAAACTTTTTTCATTTTACAAATGTTTTATCAATAAAGACTATTGAAAGACCTCGACAAAAAATTTTCATCTGTCTAAAACATTTTTTGGATGGTCAAAAGAAAAAAACACACTAAGTCCTTTAAAATTGCTTGTCCCACTGGGTGACGGGGAGCGTAGCCACGGCTATATATATATATATATATACATATATATATATATATATATATATATATATATATATATATATATATATATATATATATATATATATATATATATATATATATATATATATATATATTATTAATCTAATAATATAATTAATCCGGTTTCAGTTTAAAAAAATTTCACTTGAACTTTTTTTACAATTAACTTAATTTCTGTCACAGTTTTTTAAAAATGTTTTTTATACTCAACTTTTTAACAAGTGCTTAACTGAAGTTTATTTCTGCTGGATGATCGCATTTCATTAAAAGTTTTAGTTTAAAATTTTAACGTTAGATGCAATTTTTTTTTAAGGTAATGGAAAAATTGACTTTCCAGAATTTATATGTTTGATGGAGAAAATGACGAAACCTATGGAAGAACAGGCTAGTACACTAGAAGCCTATCGAGTATTTGATGACGATGGAGCAGGTTTTATAAACAGCAAATGTCTCAGAGAATCATTAATAAGATCGCTTGATCAACTGTCTCCGTCTGAGATTAATGATTTGCTTGATTTTTCGGGGTTAGTCCAGGATCGGCAAATTAATTACGAAGGTAATTTATTTTTTTACTTAGATTTTAATTAATTTGAATGCAATTTTAAACCCATCAATTGTGTGCTGTTAAAAACTAAGTAATTATTTCCCAAGTATTTCACGTCTTTTTCCTAAAATTTTTTATAAAAAAACACAAAATTTTATTAATAATGTTTGTTTGCCATTTGGAGTATGCTAGGGGTATATTCACATTAAAATTCAAAAAAAAGTTTTCATTGTTAATAAGCCATATTGGTTCTTTAACTAAGGGTGGATTTTCAATTCCCATTATTCCCAACTTACTATAAAATCATCCGCTCAAGTACATTGTTAGATCCAGCATTTTTTTTTGTGTTTAGATAGCTAACTTTCAGATATGGAGCAAACTCCAAACATTTGTATGTTTATACTTATGCCAAATAATGATGCTTTGAAAAAAATTGTGATGATTGAAGGCTGGAAACAAAAAAAGCTTTTCAATTTTAAAATATAATACAAAATAAAACAAAATATATATAAAAAAAATATATTCAGAATCCGAGTTAACGGGGTTCTACAGTATTTACATATAAAGATGTAAATGTTATATTAAACTAAAAAATACGCTGCATCCGCCCCTGGTTGTACTACACCCAAATTTTCGAGTCAGCTACCTTAGGAGAACTAGTAGGAAATACGGTTTTAAATTACTTAGTTTTTATTCATTATTTTTTTTTAGCAAAAAATAAAAACTTCCTTTAACTCTTCTATAACTAAAACTATTTTCAGCTGAATTATGTTGGAAATGGTTTGTTTATGGAATACATTTTAAAGTGGTTTTCTCCATAAAGTCGATGTGCTAGATAAAATTCTTCAACTTTTATTCTTATACCATTATTTATCACGTCATTTTTTTTCAAATAAATAACTTTTTTACAAAATGCAAGATATTCAAAAAATAGTATTAAATTTGTAACAAAAAAATAAATAGTAATTCTAAAAATATAAAAATTTAGTTAATGTACTATCTATACTTTCTACCTTATTATCAAAACCCTTATAATATACTCTATAACTATTTACGGACTTTTGTTGAAAACCCGTTATAAATAAATGTTACAAAATAAACAATATTTTTTGGCACATTTTATATGCTTATTTTATAATGGGTAATATACTTACTGCTAGCTGCGTCAGCTTGGAGTAAGTAAGCAAAAAAATATAGACGGATTAGTATTTTCACCTGTAAGGTAACGCAAAATTTGTTTGAAACTTGATGAATGTATAAATCAATTAAGAACTGTCAGAGATCATGTTTATATTTTTGATATTTTTAACCAAATATATTTGTTAAATTTTCTGAAATATTTTAAAAGGTGAGATTGTTTAATTCCCATAGCAATATTATTAAGATTGTAAGCGTATTAATGCAACCAAAAAGCATACGTTTTTGGCTTAGGTGACTACTCAATTTTCGTTTTTTATAAATTTTTCAAAATTATCAACTTTTCTAACGCATTACTAAGCATAATTACTTTTTTTAAAATCTAAGGTTATAAAAAGGTAAATTATTACCTTTAAGTCAACAGTAGTGTAATTATTTCAGGGTATGCTGATTATATCACATATAACGAACCGGAAAATAGTGATTAATGCTAAAAGCACAGACTTATAATAGTAAGATTTTATAATAAATTCAACTTTATCAATTAAACCACTGCATCAATGAAGTTTATAAACTTCTATTTTTTTATCAAGAGTTTGCAAATTTTCGATCAGTGTATTTCGATCAGTGTAAATTTTCGATCGATTGTCTTAACAAAAGTGAAGCTCTCCTTTAATACGAGCTACACTCCCGCTATTTTATATAGTGAAACGAAATGCTGATTTCACTTTGTTTTATATAAAAGAAATATTTTTAGAAAATAAACTATAAAAAAACTACATAAACTTTATGGAAATTTTTCTTCTTTCTTTACAATAAAATTTTAAGTTTATATAAGATTTTTAGCAACGCTACTAAATATTAAAAAATTTGTTTACAGTGTTGCAATATCGTATACTTTTTTTCGTAAAAACGAAACAGTGGTAGATAAATTATTATAAGATTCCTTTATGGAGTAAATCATAAAATTAAAAAACAACAAAAAAAACAACAAAAAAAAAGTGGTAAAAAATTAGCAATAAAAAATTTTAAATTAGGATAAAATGCGAAAATTTTCAATAGGTAAAACGCGGGTATACAGGTGAACATTTTTTCCTAATCCTTACCATATCGTTGCCTTCACCCAAATCCACAGTTGATGTAGCAGTACTCTTTTGTATGTTTTCCTAAACCAATCAATGTATGCAATGAAGCCCCAAGCTATTGATAAACAGTATGCTATTTCAGCAATTTATAAACTGTAACCCTATTTCAGCAAGTTAGTTAATGCAGAATTTATTCAGGAACTCATATGCAAAAGAAACTTAACTTGGAGTGTTACTTTACTTAATTTTTTGCAATTATTTTATGTGTTATTTTTCACGAAGTGACTATTTCATATTTTAATATAATAAATAACAAATATATTGAATTTTTATTGAAAGCACATATTATGACTACCGTTAATAAGTATAATTAACAAATATTCTTCTTCATGATTTTTTAAATAAAGTTTTCTTTTTTAAACTAAGTTATCAACACTAAAAGTATTTTATTACAATGAATACATGTGGTTATTGAAAAATGTTTATTATAAGATTTGTACTTTTTAAAAAAATATTGCAACTTTCCCAGAAAATATTCATATCGGTTATTTAGTAGTTTATAAATAGCCAATAAATCACACGTTGAAAATTTATCGGCCGGCCATTTATAGCGGGTGGCAATAATGATCCTCTAAGTAATCATAAGCACAACTCCGATGAACCGCTCAAAATGTTTATATAGGTACACTGCAAATCCACTACCTAAATGTTTTCTGGTATGTTTTTTTTGGTAGTAAACTTTTAACAGTTGCTGTTGATCGTGGAATGAAGATTTTAATTAGTTCAGGTGTTGATAGAAACTACGGTTTCCTTCAATACCTGAATGGTCAGAAGTCTGTGAAAATTCATGTGCAGTGCCGTAAAATGTATACTCGGAAGAGTATTATTGCCGCAAGTAAAGAACAGTAACATATGAATCAATCCAGTACATCCAAAATTAGTCTGCCTCGTACCAGAACGTAAGTGAATCCAATTTTCGTTTTAAAAATATATTTTATTTTGCGGCAAAATGTTCAAAAAAATTGATAAAGTTGCTACTCTTGAAATCAAAGAGTCATTTCTGAATGTTGGTCTGTTGACGTAGTTGGATGCTGTTGACGCTCAGTTGGTCTGATGATGTAGCAAAAGTTGTTTCTGCACGCAATGAGAATGAATATGGTTTTTTTTTTTTTTTTGATTTAATTGCTGCTGAGGCTAAGTACCATAGTTTTTATAATAATTCCTACTTGAGACAAACCACTAAAGTTAAAATAAGTCGTACTCAGGATGAACGAATGATGCAATTGAAGAAATATTTACATCCATTTAAAATACTGACGATTGTCAGTTTTCTTTAGAAAAATTAAAAAATATTTACAAAAACCCGGATTTAGATAACAAAAAAATTAAGATACGATAGAAGTCAGAGTATGGTCATAAAATTATTATCACTAAATTTTTATCACCATGACAATATTCTTAATCAAATTTGGAACAAGAAGAAAAGCCAAATTAAAGAGGAAAAACAATTTCGAATCTTAAAAACTGAAACAGCAGCCATTTGAGAAGACAGCCCGTCATTAGTATTTGATTGTACAACATATCATTCGCCTGGTAAAATGAGTGAAAATATTACCAGCGATAATCCAAATTCATTGAAATTTTTTGGGGCAAGTAGTTCTTAAAAATAAATCTAAATTTGAACATTTAAAATTAATGTGCACAAGTATCAGCCACAATATTATGTCTGCTGCTTGACCTAGATCTTTTAATTTGATTTTAATTTAATTTAAATTGATTCTCTCAGTTTTTCTCCATCGACGGTATGGCTTAAATCGTCTTATGCAAATATTTTTGTCTTTTGGTTTATGCGCATCCTTCAATGACACTGTGATGGTTGAGGCATCAGCAGCTCTTCACTATCCACCTTTTATTTAACCACCACTTACAAATATTTATTCAATATCTGATGATCTACCCCTCTCTGATTATAGCTCTCCGTCCATTCCCAACCCGTTCCCATCCATAAAAATAACGTCATAAATAACGTCATAATTAATATTATGACATATTTAATCTTGTTAAATTTTTTTTAAAAAAAAGATTATATTCTTTTGTTTAAAGTTAATCTAGCGTTATAAAAAAAATATAAAAAAAATTATAAGAATAATCTTTTTTTTTTTAAAAAAAATTTAACAAGATTAAATATGTCATAATATTAATTATGACGTTATTTATGACGTTATTTTTATGGATGGGAACGGGTTGGGAATGGACGGAGAGCTATAATCAGAGAGGGGTAGATCATCAAATATCAGACGGTATAAACACGCTATACATGCCCATTATACATTTTTTTATTGTTCAAATTGTTGCCCCGAAAAGACCAGTTACACAAGATCTTATACTAAGAATTTCATACATTGATATTGAAAGTAGTAAAGATAATGAAACATATGAAGCATTACTTTATCAGTTAAATGAAAAACTAAAAGAATTTGAAAAACGAGTCGATATCTTGTCGATTGTAACGGAATTTATAAAAGCTGAACACATGAGAGATTGTCAAGCTTATTTGAAGAACATTAAAAAAAAGCTTCCTTATTTCCAAGCATCAGGGCATTTTCCTTATGCTAATTCTGTGCAGGATATTTGAGAAGTTAATGAACCATAATGTTTATCAGAGATTTATTGAAGAGTTTTTCACTGTTATACGTTTTGATAAACTAAAATGGTAAAAATTTTGAAGATGATTTTACGATCTAAAGCATTTGTTTGATTTACTCTTATGATAAAGCTTACCGTTTACAGCAAAAATATGAAAAACCTTTTTTTTAACTTTGAACTTAAATAAATTTTTTTGCAGATGTGGGATCGGTGGGGACTTTTAATATATCTATGCAAATTATTGTAAGTTGAAATGTTTATTTTGAACGAACTATTTATATTAAACACATTTAGCTAGCTTAATGTATATTAGGTAATATGTTCATCTCAATATATAAACATATATTGCCATATTTATATATAAACATATATATATATATATATATATATATATATATATATATATATATATATATATATATATATATATATATATATATATATATATATATATATATATATATATATATATATATATATTTATATATATATATATATATATATATATATATACATACATACATGCATATATATAAATATATATATGCATATATATATGTATATATCTATCTATCTCTCTATCTATCTATCTCTCTATCTATCTCTCTATCTCTCTATCTCTCTATCTCTCTATCTATCTATCTATCTATCTATCTATCTATATATATATATATATATATATATATATATATATATATATATATATATATATATATATATATATATATATATATATATATATATATATATATATATATATATATATAAATAAAGTAAGAGAGTAAATAAGTAACATATTGTATTAAATTAATATCATTTACTATTTCAGAATTTGTACGACTTGTTATACCAAACAGTCTTCTAAACTTATCTAGTGGCGGATGCAAAATAAATTTATTAGAAATGTCCTCAAGATTAAACTCACCCTCGTTTAGCAAAGAAGAAAAAGATGACAAGAAATAATAACCAAAGCAATCGCTTTTATGAAAAAAAAACAAACACATTTTATATCTGCAGCATAACTGAAAGGAAATCTTTAAATGGGTGAAATCAGCACTGATGGGTAAAAAGATTAAAGAAAACAAAGCTTTAATATCAAATATTAGAAAACGATGAAAAACAATATTCTACTAAAGAAAATAGAACATGAATATATTATTATTTTTATAAGTAATTTGGGTTTAAGTTTACATCTATCTATCTATCTATCTATCTATCTATCTATCTATCTATCTATATATATATATATATATATATATATATATATATATATATATATATATATATATATATATATATATATATATATATATATATATATATATATATATATATATATAAACTTAAACACAAATTACTAATAAAATATAAGCATTAATATAAACAATGCATCTCAGAAAAAAACTGTAATAGGTTAAAAACACAACTTTTGTAAAAAAAAAATTAACAAACTGTCTTTATTACGAATGTAAAATTTATTAAATACATAATTTAAAAAAAATGAAGGAGCAATAATTACGTTTTAATGTGTACAATATGTTGTTTATAAAATACACACAACTTAATTATTAAATTGTTTATTATTTAATAATTTTTTTAACTTTATAATTTAATGTTTAAAAATTTAATCAATGACTTTTAGTTCAGGAAATTTCAATACTTTTTCTATAAAGGTAGAGAAGGATATTTCTTTTGGGAGGTAGTTTCTCAATTCTTCTTCGGTAGATAAAAGATTGTCAGAGTTAACAGTTGACGACATAATACAATCAAAAAATTCTGACTCATTAAGATGTTCACCTAAATGTTAATTGATCAATTAATTTTTTTAATAAAGATAGAAGTTATATAAATTTTATTTTCTACCTTTTTCTTGAAGTAGCTTGATAAGTTGCTCTTTTTGAATTTTATATTCTCCCCCATCTTGATGAGTAACTGTTTTAAATGCTTTTTCCACTTGAGAAATTTGAAGACCAAAAGCCGGACGATGGTTTAAATACACTTACAATAAAAATTGAACAAAAAAATTTAAAACCAAAAGTAATAAAATAAAGTAGGGTAGAATAGATAGGTGGAGTAACATCCAGCACTTCCCAAAATATACCAACAGTTTACACACATAATTAGCTACATTTTCTTTACTTTAAATAATGTTTCGATTTGTTTTGAATGAATACTTAAAATATGTAAATTTGAAAAACATTAAAACTTTTTTTTTGCAGATCTCATTAATATTACTAAAGCATGATGATATAAATTTATTAGTATGACCATGTTACCATGGTGAATTTTTTAACAAGATCTTCGTGTAACCATAATGAGTATATAAGATAGACCATGATGGACCCTTGATAAATTTATAATTTAGACCATGATGCAACAACATATCATTTAGACATATGATGTAACAACTAATCTATCTTTTCAACAAGATGAATTAATTTATTAATTCACCTAGTTGAGAAAAAAGCAAATGTCTGAAATGAAGTAAAATGGATACACAGGTAGAATGGTCGTGAGGTAAAATGAATATATATAACATTTTTCAAGTTTTAATAAAAAGACAGACTTTTTCAAAGTCACATTACAATCTAAGTCGTATGACAGATATTAATAATTATTTACGCTCACTTTTGATATTTAATATATCAGAGAACTATAAGCACTAAATTCATAGAAAATCACTTAATAAAATATTTTTTCATTTAACACTGTGTTTTATGAAAAAAAAATTTTTTAAGTGATTTTTTATTAATTTATAATTGCTCTGTTCTTTTAAGAACATTGAGTACTTTACCAAATTTTACCGCTTTACTTCGCTACCTTCAAAAAATTTTACCGTTTTACTTCGCTACCTTCAAATACAAGTCATGCGCTACCACTACTCGATACTGTTTTTTTTTTGCTACATCGAAATATTGTCGGAAAAAGATCTTTAAGAAAAATTTAAGAAAAAAACTGTAATAAGTCTGCATTTACAACTTTGCTTAACACTCATGTCAAAAAGAAAGATAATGAACTTCTGAAAAGCTTTTTCAATGGTAGTCGTTTTTACCTTGATGGCATATCAAAATGTATGATGAAAACAGTGAATATGCAACTGAAGCATAATGAAAAATTCTAGTAACAAAAGAAAACCATGTTGTGAAAACCTTACAGAGATCAATTAAGTTTGTTCACTTATACCTAGTCCTTGTGAATCGACATTACCATCACTTGGAAATGCAATAAAATGAGGAGCACATGTTCAGGCAAAGAAAAAAGAGAAAAATTCAATACCACAAAATGGAGAGGCCAGATTTAAAAAAGAAGAGAAGAAAATGATAAAAAAAAAGACTGTTGACGGAAAAAAAGAGATAACTAGAAATTATCAATATAATAAATGAGTAAATAAGATACTTATATAATATATGTAACCATTTGTATCTGTATTACCCCGCCAGTGGAGTGATTTCGATACACGATTTTGTTAAAAAAGTATTAGCAAATGTTTTTGAAAACATAGTTTTAAGTTATTGTTTACCTCAATTTACAGTTGTTGTTACTTAAATCAGTTTAAAAATAATAGTATAAACCTTAAGCATAAAAAAATGAGAAAATTTATAATTATAGTTATAAAACAAAAACAAAAATATCCAAAATTCTATCTTTATTAACTCTACCTAACTACAATGAAAAAGTAATTCAACTCACATTTTGTAAAATCTTCAAGATCAAGAGAATCCATGCATTTGCCAGTATCAACATATTCGCTGAACTTAACTTCGTTAATCATGTTTTCTATCTTTTTGTTGTTTAAAAAAAATAAGAATATATAAAAAAATAAAAGATAAGATGTATACAAGAATATATAAGATATATATAAATATACAAAGATATAAGATGAATATACATAAGAATATAAAAGAATGTATACAATTTATATAAGAATAAAAGATATAGAAAAAATAAAGTCATTTAAAATCTACTTTTGTAATTAAAAATATTTTTACAGAACCTTAATAAAAATTGTAAAAGATAAGAAAAAATTGTGCAAATCATATTAGGAAGAAACGAAGTCATGAACAACAAGCAATTTATATTATATTTAACTTATTCAAAAAAATCAAGTTTTGCTAATAAGTTTACTATACAGTGAAACATGTTTTGCTTATAAAAACTATGTGCTTAAAGGATTTTTTTTTTTATTAACTCTGCATGGTTTCTAAGAGAGTTTTCAAACATTGATTTAAATGAAAGATGAATATAGTGTTAATAATATCTAGATTTTTTAATTCAATAAGTTTTTTTAAAATAAGGAAAATCAAAAAAAAAAACAAAAACAATAAAAGATAAATAAATTTTATATATATAATAAATAAAAAAGTGAAAATAATAAACAAAATAAAATAGAAAAATAAATAAATTTAAATAAACTGGTAATAATAAAAGTATTTCATAAATACATTGCAAGAATGAATACTAGTCAGACATTGTCATGAAGTTATTTACAGTTATAAGTAACACAGGTAAAAAATTACTAAGGCCAGTGGTTTAAATGAACAAGAACTAAGACCTATTGAATAGCCTGCAAAAAATTAGTTCATTATGTTAATCAAGAATAAAACTTTTACACAAAATTTTATTTCCTTTTAATCTAACAAAGAACATTAATTAATTTAACATGAATTAATTAGCTAATTGTATAATATAATTATATAATAATAGTAATGAGATTAAAAAAAAAAATTACATCACTAAATAAAATAGTATTTAAAGAAAATCAAATACACTGTCAATCAAAGTGTCCTAAAAATACAACTTTTTTACAAAAATTAAAAGGTTTGAAATACATTAAATAAATAATAAATGCTAAATTGTCTCTAAAACTTTTGGGTGATTTGATTGTAGATTTATGAATTTTTCAAAAATGACTTTTAAATAATAAAAAAAAAATCTGAAGAAAAATAGTTTGTTAATTTCAAAACATTGAAAAAAAACTTTTAATCTAAAATATTTAAATAAAATATTTTGGCAAAATTTTGGTTCAAATTACTCTTTTTCAATTATTTTTTCTATTTTCTTATTTTTTTATTTTTGACTTTCAATGCGACTGTCTACCAGAAAATTTTAAACAAGACATATATTTCTTTCAGAGTAGTCATTTATGCACTATATATTTGAAAGGAAATCTTTGAAAAGCTTGAAGCTGGAATGAAGATCTATAAATTTTCCATTAGGAATCCAAAACGGTATATCTTGCGTTTTAAGATTGAGTATGAAAAAAGATACCAACTATTTTACCCAACAAACTCATGCAAATGAGTGTTTTTGTAAATAATTATGTTGTCACTGATTATAGGTTTTTTTATTTTAAAGTAAGATATAATCTCTAGGTAAGGATACTTGATAAGTTCCTGTATCATTGAGAATTTCTCATCATTTAGTTATGTCTAGATATGCAAGTGCTACAACAACATCTTCAGGCAGCTACCATGTATGTCTTAAAAGAGAATTTTAAAGACTTTTTCCTAATATCTTACCTTCTTCCTCTATCTGTAGATGCAAATCCAAGTTCTTTATCTACAGAACTTGGATTTGCATCTACAGATTTGATCACAACCTTTTTTTGAACCAAAAAAAAATTATTTGAAAGAAAAATGCCTTTGCTTATATATAAATGGTCAGATGCCAATGTAAAATGTAAAATTTCATTATGTCAGATAAAAGAAAAAAATTGTTAATACTAAAACTACTATTGGCCCTCCAATAGCGGTTTTTATCAAAAAAAAGTTCATCTCAAAGCCTACAAATCCATTGCCTATAGGGCAGTACAACATTAATTCTGTCATAACTATGAGATCATCTATAAAAAAAACTACCTCTTCTTCGGTAGGATAAAATCCTAGAGCACGCATTAAAAAAGGAACTTCAGACAATGAAATCTTTGAAGAGACTTCCCGAGGCATCATTGTATCAATACCTTGTCTAAAAAAGCAAAACATAAAATTTATAAATAAGATACACAGAATCCAAAAATAATTACAGATACACAAGTAGCAACAGATATATAGTAGGATTGAGGCAGACACTCTACTGTATAACAATTATATTATGCAACTTATATGCCTAAAGTTCAAAACTCATAGAATCAGTTGTAAAAAATTGAATTAGCATTTCGGACCCATAAAATACGGGTCTTGGTAAGTTTATTCTACACTTACTATTTCTATACTTATACCTTACTTCAATATTTTTTAACATGTGGTAAACTATACATATTGTCTACTAAGGAGGCTTGAAAAAACAAAATTTTTCATAATGCTTTAAGGGGTAGAGCGGAAAACTTTTCTCTACACATAAGTAACTTCTGTGCAAAATTTTGTCACTCTAGTACAATGTCTTCTGTTCCGGCAAGGGACATGAAATTTCGAAAATTTATTAAGATATTCATATATTTATATACTTTTGAAAATATTTTTTAAACGTTACAGCACTTTGTGGTAGTGTGCAAAAAATGCACCTATGTATGGTTAATTACTGTGCAAAATTTCATGCCCCATGGACAATATGTTCTGTTCAGGCAAAGAGCCTGAAATTACCTACAAAGTTCATTGTTGTTTTATTTCATTTTTATTTTTTTAAAGTCCATTTTTTAAACGTGATTTCAAAACCAAATACATATTTCAATTGGAATAAGTGCAGCTATTTCTATTCTTTTTTCAATTTCTTTTGTTCTAACATTGTTAATTTTTTGAGACAGTAACTTTTTGACTTATATGCAAGTATACAGTATGTTAACATTGCAAAATTAAAATAAATACTAATTTGTATTTTTTATGATCCTTGCACATCAAGATTGTTACTTTGTCTTGAATTTTTTTTTGGCTTAACGCAAGCATATACGGTAATTACTATTATTTTAGCAGATTATTTTCCAGATTATCATTAATAATTAACTAAGCAATAATTATTTATTACTATTTTTTTTTTGTAATTCAAGGTCGCTGTGCAGAGAAACAAGTTGAGCATGGTACTACCAGGGATGTGGTAGAAAATCGAACTCGGAACCTTTCGCTTATGAAGCGAGCGCTCTACCACTACCGCATAAATTACCGCATAAAACTTTTAAAGCAAAGAGCATTAGACTGCCCAATTTTCGGATAACTAACAGATTCTCAGATTTCAGAACTAACAGCTTCCAACAAAAGATGTTGTTAAATGTTTAATTTATGAAAGGCGGTGGAAACAAAGATTTCTTGCTGATCAGAGAGCAAAGTAATTAATTAAGGTACAATTAATGTACTTAGTGGCTGGATAGCTCAGTAGGTTAGAGTGTCGAACAAAAAGTTTAAACCCAGACAGTTGTAAGATAGAGTTCAAATCTTGCCACCGTCAACTCAGCGCTTGAGTAGTACTTCGATACACAAAAACGTTGGTCAATAACGTACGCAACTTTGGATTAGTCTTAATGACTATTTGTGGCTGTTCCTATGCTAAGCCAACAATATCTTCGGATATAAGAACATTTTATAGAAAAATATAGCATGAAAATTAAAAAAAAATAATAATAATAATAATAATGTTCATTGGATCACTTGATCTGAAAGAAACTAAAATGCTCTAAACACATGCTGAAAGAAGTAAAAAATAATTCCTTCATAGTTCAAAATCAACTGCGTTTAGCTTATCCTAGCCTAATGATGATAAGCCTTCATCATCATCAAGTTTCTGTAAAGATTATAAGACAATGGATGAGGATGAGTTACCTAAACCTGATGAATACAACTATAATCCCAGACCGTCAATTTTATCCTTTTTGCAAATACGTGTGAAAGTTACTAACACTACCCTAATAAGTCAATAATTTGGGGTAAGGCTTCAAGCCGAAGCTGCCATAGCTACTAGTGTTTTACACAAATTAGGCCTAGTCAGTAAATTGGATAACCTTTAGTGATTGATAAGAATAAAATTGCTAGAGAGAGGTATCGAACCATTAAAGAACTTAAAAGTGAAAGTTCAAACACTAATAAGGATCATTTAGTAGGTCTTTACTTCCACGGCTGACGCGGCAAAACATTGTCAACAGAAAAAGAGAAGGATAAATACTACCAAAGAGAAATTATAGAGGAGCACTATTCCTTGGTGAAAGAACCAAGATCTAACTAGATTGGCAATGTTACACCAGCATCAGGAACAAGTCTAGCCATTTACAACTATATTACAGCAGAAGTGAGCATTTAGTGGTAGAAAATAAAAAATAAAAAAACAGTTGAAGTTTATGTTTTATAAATTTTAGTTAAATAATGAAAAAACAGACAATTTGTTGATTTTGGTGTAATTTCAGGCTCTTTGCCGAACAGAAAAAAAATTACGTGGGGCATCAAATTTAGTACAGTAACTAATCATACACATGTTCAGCTTGGCACATGACGACAAATTGCTGTGATGCCTTTAGAACTTTAAAAAAGGTAACACCAAGGCATCCTACCCAATTCAATCACACTTAAAGCACTTTATACATATTTACAAATCATATTACATAATATTAATCATGAAACTTACGATCTTATCTGACAAAAATAAAAGTAGTCTTCCAACTCAGAAAACAAATGTCCATTTTGTCCTCCTTCAAGTAAAGAGTAAAAAGGATTCAATCCATCGCCACCCAAGCATGAAGCAGCTTCTAAAGCACTGTTTAAATTTTGAAAAATATAACTTAATAAACCTATTTATAAACTATTTGGATTTTTTAATAATTTATATAAAGCAACTCAAACTTCACAATGAGATTTAAACTTCTCTGAGATTAGCCAATTTAAAAATCTATAGTGGGATAAATAAATAAAAAACTTTATTTCAAGGATTTTTCTAATCGAACTTCTTTGAAAATGAAAATACTCATCAAATAAGTAAACTAAAATTATTGAATCTCTACAATAAAATACTACCTGTAATCAATAACCCATATCAGCACATTGGGATCCGATCCTCCACAAGTAAACAAATATTTACCATCAAAAGAGCATGCAACATCATGTGCCTAAACTCAAACTTGTTAATAAAACATTTGAAATATTCAAATTATTCTACTGGGAGTCGATAAAATGTAATTACCTGTTTGTGTGCAATCAATGCCATTGACTTATATGGATTACCATCAAATGGTAAAATTGTAAGACCAACCTGAATAAAAAGTAAATAAATAGTTTGATGTTTAGAGAACAAGAAAACAAAGTTAAAACACAGACTTATGGTGACTACCTTATTACTTGTTATATAAGCCATGTATCGATGCGGACCTTGGGTATCTGGTAGAATCAGCATTCTAAAATAAATCTTAAACTTTAACACAATTTGATGTGCTTAAATAAAGCCCTGCAAATCAACAAACTTTTTACTATATTAACCTTATGCACATTCTTAATTAAAGATTTAGCTACTTCACATTAAAAAAATATTAAACTTTAATAACAATTAAAGTTTAACTTTAATTGTTAATAATTTATATTTGTTATTTATTTATACATAAAATTAATTTGTACTTCTAATAGATGATAATAATTAGATGTGACCCTGCAACAGAAAACCACATATGGGGGATAAAAAAAGAAACTACATACAAGATCAAGTAATATACAATGCAAAATCAAGCTGTATGAAATAAACAAAATGAGTTACTGATATAAAATTTAAGAAAATGAGCTGTTGATGTAAAATAAACAAAATGAGTTGATATAAAGTCTCATACAGATTGGAAATTTTGGTTTTTTAAAATTATAATATAAACGATTAAATTTTCACAAAAATTCAGTTTTTGTAATACACATTTGTATAAATAATATAATACTACATTTTGTTACATATGTTAAAATATCATTCAGAATAAGCATCATTTCAACCATTTTCTTTAAGATGCTAATACTCCAAATGTAATGAAGTTTATAAAAATTTATTAAAATACTTTACTACTTTCAGACTTACTTGATGCCAAAAATGTCAAACTTATACCTAACATTGTTTCAACAATATGGTCTAGAAACATTGATTCTGTGGTACAAAAATTTTTCAGGTGCAGGGTCACACACACTCACATATATACATATATAACAGTTTTAACTTTTTAACTTGAGATCCATATGCCGGACTTAAAGTGGTTTGTCGACACATTTTTGTTGTTGAGTTGAACAACTTTATTTTGAACTAAAAAAATTGGTCAAAAAACTAATAAAAAAAAAAACAGTCATTCATGAAAATACAATAAATAAACACTTTAATAATAAGATTAAATATTTTTTGAATTAAGTCTGTATATGCCCCTTGATGTCAAATATGAATAAAAAATGATATTATGGAAACCATAAACAATTAAATCAATTAAACTATATATAACCATAAAACCAATTAAATTATATATAGATATAAAAAAAGTAAATTTAATTATTTTTACAGCATCGTTTGCAACAATAAAAAAGTTTTCTTTGACAATCGGAGGATAAGGTATAAAACAAAGAGGTACAGCTTCTTGTTCAATTCGATCAGATACCAAAACTTTTAAACTGTCTAATGAATTGATCAAATCATACTCAACCTGAATAAATAAAAAAAAACATATGTTTAGAAATTGTAGACATTAATTAAATGTATTAAAAGCTATATGTATTTAGGCCTGTAAATCAAGCCGAACGAGCCAAGCTTGCCAGGGCTTGGCTCGTTTACATATTAAGAGTGTTCAGGCTCGAAACAAGCTCCATTCGAACATGAGGTTCTTTGTTTGAGCTCGAATCATTGAGGATTAGTATTGTTTGGGCTCGGCTTGATTTACATATTGCTCGAGCTCGACTGGTTTAAAACTCAAAATAATTATTGTAACCTGTTAGTTTAAAGCTTGTTTAGTAAAAAAAACTGTTTGTTAAAGGCTCGCCTGTAAATAATGCAAGTCCAAATCAACAAACAACATAAGCAATCCTACAGTCTATTAAACATGCAAATAAACAACAGCATGAAATGAAATCCCACAAATCTAATAGTTCAAAATAAAAGATAAATTTAATAGTTCAATGTTCAAACTTAATGTTCAAAGTTCAAACATAATGTAAACTCTCACAAATATAATAATTCCTATTAAACACTGCACTATAAATATGTATATATATATATATATATATATATATATATATATATATATATATATATATATATATATATATATATATATATATATATATATATATATATATATATATTTGAGCTTTAATAGAGCCTATATGAACGAGTCTATGATGTTCTAGCTCAGCTCGTTTAATAAACGAGCCTAATTTTTTGTTCAAGCCCGGCTCATTAAACATTCAAGCCGAACATGAACGAGCTCTTGTCGAGCCGATCACCGAGCCGTTCACGAACACGAGCCAGGATTTACAGCCCTATATGTATCCACTGCACTTCATAGAAAATATTATTTATATGAAAAAAATTTATTTCTGATTTTAAAATTCTTATTGTGAAAGAAAATATATAGAAAAGATTCACCAGCATACGATCAAGACTAAGTGAAAATAATCGAGCCATATCTTCATCCAATGCAGGCATGAACATTAAATCTGAAAAAAATACAGATAAACATAAAAAAAAACCGAAATTTGAAACCAAATATAAATAAAAATATAATTTTCAAAAATGTCACACCCATCACTTCTTTATAGTGTGCTCTACTTTTTCCCAAATAAAACCATAAACAATTTTGTTGATTCCATTGAAATACAATAACACACTTATCTGAAGTCTATAAAACAACAGAATAAACTAATAATATTAAAATTACATAAAAACATACATATATATATATATATATATATATATATATATATATATACACATATAAATATATATATACATATACATATAAATATATATATATATACATATATATATATATATATATATATATATATGTATGTATATATATATATATATATATATATATATATATATATATATATATATATATATATATATATATGTATGTATATATATATATATATATATATATATATATGTATGTATATATATATATATATATATATATATATATATATATATATATATATATATATATATATATATATATATATATATATATATATATATATATATATATATATATATATTAGTCAGAAAATATCAATTAATACAAATTCTCTTAATACAATTATTAATTTATTATTAGAAATTTTCGCTGGATAATGGTTACCAACATCATTAGCTCATAAAAATTATACAATAAAATTTTTTTGTAACGTTAGAAACAGTTTAAAATTAACTGACAACAGCAGTTGAATGGCTCCTTTCTTGCTTACGTAAAAATGTAAAAAACGGAGTCCAAAATTTAGTTTTTACAAACTGCCTGTTATCTAAATTAATTCCGCCATGTATAGGTGAACATTGGAACCTCTGCATTTCTAGGGCTTCGTGCACTTTTCGATCAAATTTTTTTGTTTCAACTTTAATTGTTTTTATGTTTTCCCAATTTATTTCTTGTGAGCAAAACTTATTATGGGTGGCAATTGCAGATTGATACTGTTTCCCCTCGTTTAAACTTTTTAGATGTTGTTGAGTCCGAGTCCTAATTTGAAGTTTAGTTTCACCTATGTATCTCTTTGAGCATTTGCATTCAATCAAATAAGTTCCAGGTTGACTATTTTGTGGTAATTTAGTTTTGTTTTTTGACGTCAGTAATGTTTTAAAATCTGGATTTGATTTGAAGACTACTCTATAGCCAGCTTTCCGAAATATTTTCCTTAGTTTTGGGGATAGCAATGGTATCAACGATAATAAGAGAGTCTGATTGAATAAGAGAGTCTGATTGCATTTTATTGACTTTTAGAGACCGTTTATTTCCAATAAATTTTGCAATCCGTTTAAGTTGGTATATGTTGTACCCATTTTCGTTAAACATTTGAATAAGGAAATTAATCTCATCCTGTAAATATAAATTACTGCATAAAGAATAAGCCCTGTGAACGTAACCTTTAAATATTGCGTTTAGAATCTTAGGGTCATGATTTGAGTGATGTTTAATTTGGATATTAGTTATGGCTTCCTTTCTGTAAACTTTAAACTCGTATTTTCCTTTGTTGTTGTTTATTATGGTTAAATCGAGGAGGTTTAGAGTTCTATTTTTGCTTTCAGTTTCGATCGTATACTGGATTGCAGGGTGTTGTTTGTTTAAGATAGTTAAGAATTGTTCTGCTTCTTGAGTGTTGGAAAATCTAGCGTGACTATCGTCAACATATCTTAGATAGGATTTTAGGTCAAGAGGAGGATTTACTGCCAAAGAATTTTTGAAATTTTTGGAGGTGTCTTATTTTTTGGGTTGTACTTTAAGTTAAAGTTTTTATAACCGTTTTGTTTAAGTGCTTCTTCATATTCTGTTTTTAAAGCGTTAAATATTTTTTCATAGAAAGAATTTTGCGATAATCGATC